TCTCCATTACGTACAGCCTCCCGTTTAATTCTGCCAATCTATTCTCTAAATATTTCCTATCCTTTTTAAAGCTCTCTCTCTCTTCACCTTTTTCCAACCCATTTAGATAATTTATAACTATTTAATCTTCTATCAAACTGCCTCTTAAGTCTGTAACGAGACAGAAAGCCGTGACTTCTGTAAGTGGCTCCTTCCAGCGGTCAGGTACTATAGCAAGCATTAAAACACTCGCCACGCACTCTCACGCACACAATACATCAAACCTCTGCCGCACGCCGATACTATGCTGCATTGCTGCCTACACAGAACACAGATGGCGCGAAGGAGCTAAGGCTTTGTGAATGCACGCTGCCAGCCGGTAAAATTACTTTCCCGAGCAAACCCGTTGGAATAAAACTAAAATTTTATAAACTTCTAAATCAGTGMATTGTAATCTATAAATTTCACAACACAAAATACTTTTAATCACCACTGAGATCACCGTAGTCAAGAAAGCCACATACAAAACACCACCTATGGAACGACGGCTGACCATAGCATATGTACCTATATGTCGGCCGCCACTGTTCAAGACACTCTCGTTCCTCCGCTGAGTGAGGTATAATTGTGAGCCGGACAGTATTAAAGCACCGTTATACACGGACACAAATATTCATTACATCAATACCCACAACCTCAACGGTACTATCGACTCTACCGACATACTAGCAACTGTTTCATTTMGCGTTTCCTCTCACTCTACGAGATACTAATTCTTTTTCTATATTTCAACCCATCTTACCTAGTATGGCCATAACCAGCCTCTGCATAAAATRTTACACCTGTTAAACCAACTTTAKTCAATCAATTACTTTTTTTAGCTGACTTATTTTCACCTCCTGATATCAATTATCTAATTATATCTACTTAACTGTATTCTTAATCAAATGCTTCTCGGGGCGTAAAATTATAAAAATAAAACTATCATTCGCATAATCATCAATAATTAGGTTTACGGATGGTCGGAAATAAAAATTATCCCAAGTCTAGCAATAATAATTATAACGATCACCTTATTAAAAATTGGTTATAACTCAGATAATAATAAACTTATTTATTAAAAGCTAATTAGTTTGATTAGTAGATCAACTATTTAAAATCTAACTGCTGACAATGTTTATAGTTTAATAAGATACATATTTAAATATTTGAAATTTTCTTCATTTGTCAATCGTATTTGTTCTAAATTTTAAGTATTTTTTATGTCAATATACATCGGTAAATTTTAACATTTCTTGTTGTCATTCTACGATTAAAACAAAACTAAATACTGAAAAAAATTTGATAACTTTGTTTGCTTAGTCAATTATTCGAGTATATAAAGCACTAACATACTTGATTAATTTTACAAATGATATCGAACAATTCAAAGCATATTCCAAAAGATATTTAAAAAAAAGTCGAAACTAAATGTAATGTATTGAAAATTATAAATATAAGTTGTGTTTTGAAACACAATTGAAGATTACTTGACCCTGAATGTATACTCAAATATTTAACAATATGACTGTCAATAATTACTAGTCTAATATTATTAAATTATAACATGATATTGTTTATGCGTTGCTCTACTACAAAATTTCATATATTATTCTTAATCCAAGTTCAGGACTCTGTGTGCCCATATAATTCATACCATCGTATACAATGGCCATGCCATACATGGTGGTAAAATATTTATCGGACATCTTCAAAGGGTCGGTAGTCAAGTAAACTTATACACCTTTTGTGCACGCAGTCCCCATTGTGTGCTCTTATTATCATAATATTTTATAAATCCACGCACGTACAGACAAAGCTTATTGTATGTTTGTATAATGAAATATACGTTTCGGCTTTTGGTGAACGTAAGAGTTGGTCACCGCTGATGAATAAATAGGTACTTTTTACCTACAGACTACTGGAATTATAAAAAATTCTGAACTTATATTGTAATACAATAATACCGTATATTCTAATTGAATTCAATATACACTAGGAATGATGCTCTTGTAACAGCACCCAATATAATCATGTGTAAATAATCATAATTATATGCATGAATATCTGAC